AGCCGGAGCCACTCCCCAAGTCGGGCTGTGGGGCGCACTGCCAGCCACGGCCACCACGCTTCTTGCTGGTGAGGCAAAGTGAATAACCGTGTCTGTAGAATCCAGGGCCGCTGGCAGGAACCGGGTAGGTCTGATTGAGTAGTTATGTCCATTACCCTCTTGGAAAAAAGCTCTTGGGGTACTCTGCAGAGGGTCAGGGTCGAAGGGGAGTTGTCTGGGTTTGGGGCTGGGAGGATGAGTTGGGCTCAGCTTGCATTGTGGGCCTGAGTTGTCTTCGCTGTCACATGGATCCTCCTTATTTGCGGTTGGAGGGACCTGGCTCAGGCGTGAACAGGAGCTCTTCTCGAAGGTCCCAGAGCTGCAGAGGGTTGGGAGACTGAAGGCTCGGGCAGGACCAGCTGTCTTTAGCAGAGAAGCTAGAGAGAAGGTGCAGATGCAGAAATTCAAGCGTGGTTCTGGGCCTAGGAGAGAATAGAGCTGGGGGCAGCCGAGGCTGGGAAGGAAAAGGGGCTCTGACGAGTCACGCCTCTAATCCCAGCACCCCGGAGGCAGAGGCAGGTGCACCTCTGTGAGTTCGAGGCCAGTCTTATCTACAGAGAGTTCCAAAGAGTTCCAGCATAGCCAGGGCAACACAGAGAAACCCTGTCTCGAAAAGCCAGATACACGAAACGAAGACCTAAGGTCTGTGTGAGGGTAGAAGCCATTTCTCAGGCCGAGGGAGTTGTGACCAAAGCCTTCACTTGGCCCCTTCGCCCCACAGGTTGGTCTGGGTGATGCAACCCATGCCTTGAGGCCAGGAGACTCCCAAGACCAGCATGCCGTGGGACACCAGGCCCGGACGCAGCGCCAACGGCGGGCCTGAAGGCCCAGGCTCAGCTCGCTTGCGGGTGCAGAAGCAATGCCGGAAGTCGTCCTTTGCCTTCTACCAGGCAGTGCGCGACCTGCTGCCTGTGTGGCTACTCGAGGACATGCGCGCCAGCGAGGCCTTCCACTGGGACGAGCGCGGGCGCGCCGCCGCCTACTCACCATCGGAGGCCCTGCTGTATGCGCTCGTGCACGACCACCAGGCCTATGCTCACTATCTGCTGGCCACCTTCCCGCGGCGGGCGCTCGCCCCGCCTAGTGCGGGCTTCCGCTGTTGCGCCGCACCCGGACCGCACGTGGCGTTGGCGGTGCGCTACAACCGCGTGGGCATCCTGCGCTGCATCCTGAGAACCGTGCGGGACTTCCCGCTGGAAGAGCGCATGCGCCTCCTGGACCGACGTGGCTGCAGCCGCGTGGAGGGCGGTGGCACATCCCTGCATGTGGCCTGTGAGCTTGCGCGCCCCGAGTGCCTCTTCCTGCTGCTTGGCCACGGAGCTTCTCCAGGCCTTCGAGATGGCGGCGGCTTTACACCCTTGGAGCTGCTGCTGCACCACCTTGGCCGGGACACCAACTCACCTACTGCTGCTGAGGCCTCTGCCACCGGCAACGCTGCCACCACCAGCACCACTCCACCCGGGGAGCTGTGTCAGCGCCGCCTGATGCTGCTTGACCTGCTGGCACTGTACACCAAAGGCGGTGCTGCGGGCCCGGCTCGATGTGAGCTGCTAGGAGACCGGCTACGCTGGCAGAGGCTGCTGGGTGAGGACAAATTCCAGTGGCTAGCAGGGCTGGCGCCACCCTCGCTCTTTGTGCGAGCCATGCAGGTGCTGATCACCACCATCTCACCTGGCCGCTTCCCCGAGGCCTTGGAGGAGCTGCCCCTGCCACCATTTTTGCAGCCGTTGGACCTCACGGGCAGGAGCTAGACTTGGGCCCCCTTTGGCACTGTAACTGGGGACAGAAGTGTTTTTGAGAGTATTGTACCTAGCACTTTACATATACGGATCTCTGACTGTACGGAAGAATCCGCCTGGTCTGTTGCATGCGTTTGGGGTAGGGCTGCCGGGTCAGGCGGGCTATCAGAGAGCGGTGGCTCGCCACACTCCTGCTCAAGTGCACTCACTAGCTCCCTGCTCCGCTGAGGATATGGGTGAGGGCCTGGAGTCCCGGGGGTGGTGACAGCTGACCCAAGCAAGAGAAGCAGGAACAGAGGGTGGGGACTGACATGGCTGAGCAAGAGGACAGAATGTGCTGAGTCCTGTGCTGTCAGCCTCAATAATGGCCTATGGAGTGGACTTGATCCTGTGTCCCGGAGGACAAGCAGGGCTGAGCAGGCAGCTGTGGCAGGAGCTGAGAGGTAGGAGGAGCCAGGCTGCGCGTGCGTGCGTGCGTGCGTGCGCGCGCGCGCGTGTGTGTGTGTGTGTGTGTGTGTGTGTGTGGCCTCATCTCACACTGAATCTTAGGTTTCCTACCCAGGCCTGGAATTGGCCCTCAGTCAGTATTGGCAAGTGCTGGCCCTGTGTGTCTGTGCTTTGCTCCGCCATTGCCCCTGCTTCCCTGCATCCTTGTCTCTCATCAGGACCAGGGGTGCCTTCTATGCCCCCTGCCCAGCCACAGGGATGGACTCCTACCCACTCACAGTGGGTGTCACGAGGTGTTTACGGGGCTCCTGGCTGGGTGTTATCACTTTGGGCAAGCTTCTTGCCCAGCCTGGAGAGCTGATTTCTGCTGGAACCTTCTGAAGAGTGGAGGTTTGTTAGTGAATGCGCCATCATCTTTCAGGACAAAGGGACCCTGGCTGCAAAGCTAGGTTCACACCCTGCCTGAGGAGTGTCAAGACTCAGAGCCGGATTACCCTTCCCAGGGATTTTGCTGGGCTGTGAAATTCAACCTTTGTGGCATGGGCTTGTGGGCCATGGTGTGCTGCCAGCAGTAAAAGCCAACCGTGCTGAAGCGGCCAGCCTGGCCCGGGCAGCTGCTGCTCAGTGCTCCTGTATAGCACGCCTAGGGATGGAAAAGTCCAGAGTGCTGGGCCGCAGGAGGGAGGATGGGGAAAGCCTGGAGAACAGAAAGGGTCCTAGACCTTGCCACCTATGTCCTGGGCCCCACTGTTACCACCAAGGGATTTTAGGCCATTTTCCAGGCCTGAAAATGTGACCCTGCCAACCCCCCCACCAATTCCAGAAAGTGGAGCAAGAGGTTACCAGCCGGTACTGACCCTCACCTGGATGAGAGCTATGCTCCCTCTGTCACCTCTGAGCCTGGCACTTGTGGGTGATGAAGGCTAACACCCTCCCCAGCCCCGAGTTTGACTCATTCAAGGTCAGTCCCCCAATCTGGGAGGGCCCAGGTCCTTAGTCTGGATTTCCCTATTTGCAGGACATGAACAAGGGCTTGCAGTAGCTTCTCAGGGAGCCTAGGAAGCCGGGCTGCTGCTGAGGGTGCCCGCATGCCTCCTTAGCCCTGTGTTCTTTGGGGGCTGCTGGTGAGGGCTGGGAGCGTCTGTCTCCTTCAGGTAGGCAGACTGCTGCTTGGCAGCTTCACCAGTGCTACCTGACCTGGGGGGAGGGGCGGTGTCCATCAGGGAAGAGTCAGGGTGGGACCTTGTGGGAGGAATTGGCACTATAGGGCGAAGATCAGGCCCAAGAGGGGTAGCTTGGCTCATGGTGACAAGCACATACGTGTCATGGTACTCGCCATCGCTGACTGGCCCCCAGCCCCTGTGCCTTGGACTGTTACAAAGGCAGAAGAGACTCTTTGGACACTGATTTGGGTGGGGCCTCACTATTGGGAGGTGGGAGGGGGCAAGCCCGGAGGGGTGGGGAAGCCTAGCCAGTCTCCTCAGAGGAAGGCTTGATTCCTGCCACACATCTTTATTGCCATGCCTGCTCTTCAGGGAGCAGAGGGCCTGGAGAGGTGGCGCCCAATGATAAGCAAGGCCTCACTTATCGGGCAGGCAGTAGTTTCTGAGAGAGAGAGGGTGGGTGGCTCAGTGTGTGACTTATCTGTCCCCTAGGCCCCCCAGCCCCTGACATATTACCACCCTGGCCATTACCACCCTGACTTGCAATGCTGAGCAGATCTGCAGGGGACTAGAGCCTAGCAGGCCTTGTCCACCATCAGCTAGTGGTGGGTGACTTTGGTGGTTCCAAAACATACAATCAAGCCCGTCCTTCTCACGGTTCGCATGTTCACTTCATGAAATTTCACCAATGCAGTCTGTCCCCATCAAATGACAGATGTGTCCGTAGGAGATCTGTACCACACTCCAGTTAAAGAGTTCAGGAGCCAAAATTTCTGGCCCCTGATGCCTATTTGGAAGGACCGTTTAACTGAGGCATGGCGAGGCTCTTTGGAAGGGCAGTGTGAGCTGGTGTGGCCTGCTGCTGCCTCTGTCCCTGTCCTCAGCTGTGTCTGTTTCCCACAGACTCCATACTTGAACTCTGGCTTCATGTCTTTACTGGTCTCAGCATGGACAGAAGTTCTGAACATTACCTCAAGCCCTTTACAGACAAGGTGGTTCCCCGGGGAGGAGCACACAGGCTCCACCACGCTGGAACGCTTTCCAGTAACTGCAGACCACCACAGTGGTGCTTGGCGGTGACCCCAGCCCAGAGGATCAAGCGTTGATGGCCAGGGCTAGAGAGATGGGTCAGTGCTTAAGAGCATTGGCTGCTCTTCCAGTCTGAGGTTCAATTCCCAGCACCCACATGACGGCTTGACCAGTCTGTAATTCCATTTCCAGGCAGGGGATCTATGCCTCCTTCTGACCACCTTGGCCACCAGGCATGCATATGGTGCACAAACTTACATGGGAGCAAAACACTCATGCACATAAAGTAAATCTTAGGGGAAAAAGCTGATTTCAGAGCTCAGAATATAGTTCAGAGGGTGGCGTGCCTGCTAGCACCTACAAAGCCTTGGGTTTGATCACCAGCACCAAATAAAGCACCCATTTGGCACCTCATAACTCTGTAACTCCACTTTCAGGGGATCTAACACCCTCACACACCAATGCACATGGTATAAGCATTTCCCAGTGTTTTGTGGCAAGGCTTTTAAAAAATGTGTTTAGTGTTGATTTTGTGATATTTGACTCAAGTACCTGTTAATATTGCAAAATTATGAGGATTGAGTTTCTGAAATGTAAATTTTATTTAGTTTTGAAATAAATAATACATTTACATGGCTCAACATTCAAAGGGTAAAAAAGACAACTTGGAAACAATCACTGGCCAGCAACTTGTCCCAAGTGAGAGCTTGTCTCTCCCTGCCCCTCCTGAAGGGTCCTTCTCCATCTGTAAGCCGTGCTGTAGTGATAGACCGGAAGAGTTTCACGCTAAGATCCCCTGTGGGGCCCCGCTGGCACACATCCTGGGCCATTACAGGCGTGTGTTCAAGTTCATAGACAGTGGCACTTCCCCTGCGTTCTGAGAACTAGGGACAGCTCGGTGCTAGGCCAGAGCTGGATCACTGTGCTGTTACATCTCAGCTCTCACTTTGTTCTCGAAGGATCCCAGAGTTGGCGGGAGTGTGAGGGCTTTGGGTCTCCTGCTGCACTGCTTCGGTGAGCTGCTTCTGTCCGTCTGTGTCCTGTTTTTCCTACTGGGCTGGGGAAGCTCCTACGGTGAATGTCCACACTGTGGCAATTGTTCCTTTCTCACTGGGTTTACTTTTAACTCTAGTGTTTTTGAGTCAGGCCTGTACTGTGTGGTCCAGGCTGATCTGGAATGTGTGGCGATCCTGACTCTGCTTCCTGAGTGCTGGGATGGCAGACATGCTCTGGGTTTTGGTCTAGGGTTTTGGTCATGTTTCGGTGTGCATGGTAGGCCCGTCACTAAGCCACATTCCCCAGCCCCACATGGGTTCCTGACCTACAGGCTCTACATTTTGGATACGTAAACATCTCCAGGAGGGCTTCCTGTGGCTGCCCCATCATTTGCCCTCCAGACGGAAACAGTAGGCACAGCAGCTGGGCGGTTGCCCCTCCCACCGGCAATGCCTATGGGATGCTGCCATGCTCCTGGTGAGCCCCGGCCATGGTCTGGGCTGTACCTGACATGCTGGTCCTGGCTAGGGTGACTCCAGGAGTTTGTGGCATCAGCACAGGACAGCAGATTGGCCAAGCTAAGCCCTGGCCCATGTTTACTGTGTGTGAATAAAGTAAGCAACCTCTGGGGCTCTAGAGAGCGAGGGGACCTGAGCAGTAACCCGCGGGTGTGTGTGGTACTGTCATGATTTTAGAATTCCTGTCTAGGAGAACACCCCGGTGGGGATTCTGAAAGTGAGCTATAGAGTGACATCTTAGCAGGACGAGGTGGTGCACACCTGTAATCCTAGAACTTGAAAGGCGGAGGCGGAAGGATCAGAAAAAGCCATCCTTGGCTAGCTATATGGTGAACTGGAGGCCAGCTTGGGCTACAGAAGACTGTCTCAAAACAAGAGAAAAGACTAATGTCTTGGGACAACCCTCCTTTCTGCCTTCCCTGGGGCATTCTCTCCAGGGCTGCCAGAGGGTGTGTCCATCTGGGGAACAGCCTCTGCCCACTATACCACCGGGGAAGGTGGCCCAACACTCCCTGGGTGCCGAGACCTGACAGGTGCTCCGCTGCAGTGTGTGTGTGGGGGGGCTGCAGCTTCCTTCCTGTGGGTCAGCAGGACACGGTCTGCTGCAGGCCGCTCCCTCAGTAATCACCGTCAACATCGGCAAAAAGTCCACTGTTCATGATCTCAAAGCACAGCTAAATTCAAAACCAAAGAGAATCGTATAGAGCACTGAAGCTCAAAGTAGTTTAAAAGTGTCCACTTAAGGGGCTTAATTGCACTGCTATCCTCTGGGCTTGGGGGTGATGCCACTGTGAGGAGCCAGGCAAGGCACACCATTCACAGAAGACAGCTCTGCTGTCACTGAGCTCTTCCAAAAGGAGTCTATAAAATGAAGAGCAGTCAAGGCCCTCAGTAGCTCATCACTGCTGAGACCCAGAAGCCTCCGCTTCATGATGGCTGGGCCTTCACCCGGGACTGGGGGTCCTGACATGCTCAGTAGAGAACAGACATCAAGTAACTGCCTGGACCAGGCGGACTAAAAAAAAGCAGCCAGAGTGGAGCAGTGATGGGGACCTCCGGTGGGACAGCGGGCTCCTGGAAGGACACACAGTGACCGACCGGCCGGCCCTGAAGCTCAGATGCTGCTGTCCCAACCGCTGTGAGTAGGAGGCAGTTTCCACCTGCTGGGCAGCCCCATGCTATGCCCACTGAAGACACTGGCTGCTCTTAGGTGGAGGGCATGACGGGGTGGCCACCCCTGCAAAACTATAGCCAAGACAAGGTAGGCTTAGGCTTAGGATAACCAACCATCCCGAAGGAACAAAAGACCTTCACTGTTTTCAGAAGATACATTTATCTCCTAAATTTGTGAGGTTTCATTTAAAATGAGGTATCTTATTCAGGTTTGTAACTCAACAAATAAAAAGGCAACTACTAGATCATCATCTGAGAATGTGCCTGGCTTTAGGATGCCCACCAGCACACTGGTCAAATGTTTTTCTAAAGATGTCTCTACATTAGTGCAGCCTGTGTCTGTGTGATCAGCACCCTGTGCTGGATTAAAGGGACCACGAGGACACCTCTGTGTTAGGTCTGGCCGACTGGCTGTTGCGTTGACTGACATGGGCAGGTGGGCAGCTACCCCGATGATGAGGCAAGGATGTGTGTGGCTTGCACAGTCCAGCATCCCCGTCCTGGGTGGGTACTTCCCCACCTGCAATGTCTGCATGGGACGTAACTAACTGTGGCCTGTATCTCTCAGAGAGATGTAAGGGACCCTGTGAGCTAGTCAACACCGTCACCAAACACATCCAATGGCTTCGAGCTCTGACCTGTTTGGCCTGGGGTTCTGGGATGGATGACTCTTCTGGCTTTGACTCATCTGCCTATGGCGGTGTCCCTGTTGGCCCCCACACCACGATCTGTAGTTGCTGAAGAGAATTTACTGTGGTGCATGGGTAACTTAGTGCATGCAACTGAGCAGCAGCAGCCACTGCTCCTACCTGGAGGTGACCTTGGCAAGATGTCAAAGGTCCACGTGACTGTTACAGCAATAGCTCTGGGTACATGGCTGAGGCTGTGGGTTCTGGAATGAGACAGAAACAAATACACATGAAAGCAAGTGTGGTTGTTCAGCCTGGTGGATGAGGCATGTCCATAAGTGAGTCTCTGGGAAACGGCAGCATCCATCACACAGCCTCAGTTTCCTCCCTGACTGACGGCCTGGGGCTCCTTCAGATGACTTCCCACTCGTCCTCCAGGTCCTCCGGGTGGGAGGTGGCTGCCTGGCTGTTCTTCTGGGGATTGTGTGAATGACTGAACGTCTTTGTCAGTCGCTGGAGAAGGTAGCCAGGGGGTGCCACTGCCCATAGTTCGTCTGATGAAGTCACTGCAAAGATGACAAGCATGGTCTTGTATTACAGTCTGAGACAAAGGGCATAGGAAGTGAGCAGGGCCCTGGGTCCAGTCTGCACTTGGTGACATTCGGGCTCATTTTCATTTCCCCGCCTTGTGCTTTGGCCACTCAATTTAATTGTTTAGAGTTTTGAGACTCACACTGTAGCCCGGACTGGCCTGGCACTCGCAATGTAAGTCAGGTTAACCTGGAGCTCCTGACAGTGGCCCCTCAGCCCTTCAAGTGCGGGGTCACCAACAGCTTGTTCCAAGCACCTTAGCACCCTGTCCCTGACTAGACCCCTCCCACAGGTGTGGCTTTGGATGTGTAGCTGCATTGGGGTAGCCTCTTCACACATGCACCCCCTCCCGCAGGGGAGTCTGCATGCCCCAGCACCTGCCTGTGAAACACGACACACTTCCGGGAATTTTCTTCCAGTAGTCTCCAGCAGGGTTTTTGTCTGTGATGCCGTAACGGCGGGCGAGGTCACCATTTGGACATCGGGCCCACACGGTCCTGGTACTCAGTGCCAGCTGGCAGGCCTGTAACCCTGTGGGTAACTGGGTATCAGCTCATCTCTGGAGCACACCGGGAAAGCTGTATTCCCACAAACCCACAGAGCTGGCTTCTGCTTCCGAGCATCTCAGACCCAACAGGGTACCCAGGGCTTCCATGTGGCCACTGTGTGGGTGACGGCCCCCTTTACAAAGGGGTTGTGAGATTTCATGTGAAACAGCCAGCCCCACATGAATTTCAGCACCTGTCTTGCCTAGAACCATGAGCTGTGGTGATAACGCAACTGTAGCTGTGTGTGTGATAACACAACTGTAGCTGTGTGTGTGCGCGCACGCGTGCACGGGGAGGAGGAAGGGGGAGGGGGGTGGCGATTGGATACCTGTTGGGCTGTCCCTACCTGGCACATGCTCCCAGTCTGTCCCCACAGGCATCTCCTCAGTGATCCCAGTTCGGACATGCACATTCCATCGGCTGTCCAGGGCCCACAGCATCTGGTCATTGGGGCTAGAGTGGACGCTGACCAAGGTGACCCCAGCAGGCTGGAAACAGGAAGAGGTTTAGGGAGCTGGAGGCAACCGGCGACTGCAGAAGGCCAGCTCAACACGAGGCTGGGTGGAGGGGCAGGCAGGGGCAGAAGGGACGAGGCTGGTGTGGGCTCTTTGGTGTCCTGCATGTGGCATGCAGCCTCACAGGAAAGACAGACCTGCACCAGGCTGTCCTCGTAGTATCACACCAACAAGGCTGGGGAACCCACCAGACGACCAGACTTCAGCTGGAGACACACATTCACTAAGCTCATGGGCACCAGCCGGCCAGGTTCACTGGGCCCTGGCCTCTACCTGGAGGCTTCCCTGAATTCTATTAGTCCTCTGCGTTATGCAGTAGGGGAGAGGCAAGGAGAGAGCTGGCTGTGCTGCGCCTTCGTGCAGGGAACACGCCATGCTGTGTGTCAGCTTTCCGTAGCGTCTCTGCTGCATGCCTTCTCGGGCTCTTTCCTGGGTCTTGGCCAGTTACTGACATGCAGTCCCTGCCCTGCAACTTGCTTTCCAGGGTGTGTTGAATGTGGTTATGGTGCATGCCTCAAGCCTCATTCCACTTAGCTCCTGTCACGATGGAGACATCACATGCCCGTGCTGGCTCGAGATGCCAGGCTCTCTCAGGGCACCCTCTGTGTGGAGCCACCCGTCCCGAAGGCCGCCTGAAGCACTCACAGTGTGCACTCTCAGTGGGGACTTATGCCCATCACTGATCACATGACCAGAAGGATGAGTGTGTGAGGACGCGGGGTAGAGAGAAGGCAGATGTAGGCATCTGCTGTGTGGATAGTGGGTAAAGGGTTCAGAGTCAAGGCTGTAGTGTACAGGGCTGCAGCAGATGCCATAAGGTCTCTGCATGACCCTGCAGCATCTGCCGCAGGGAACATGAGCAGGAGCATAAGAATTGGAGTTACTTTCAAAAGTCAGCTTCTAGGCCAGCATGGCCAAGGGTAATATGCCACAGAGGACCTGCCCATTCTAGCTCTGCACTCAATGCTGCAGGTGAGCACAGGAGCTCAGTGCCTCGGCCTGCGGCTTGTGCCCAGCTTTGCAGTGCTGGCTGCGCCCAAACAATATGTCTTAGGGAGTCTCCTCTAAGCAAAATGTTTACAGTTTAACCACGTGCTGCCTATTCTAGCTCAGTCTGGGATCATGAAGTATAGATTTTGAGGAGCACGGATCTAGGCCGAGTCCCAATACTAGAGGGTGACAGACACAAGCCGAGGGACAGTAGACAGAGTGGGGAAGCACTGAGACAGAGGAGGGGCCCTGGGCCCAGCCTGTAAACACATTGGTGCTGCCTCTGTCCACCATGCGCATGCGTGAGTCTACAAGTACAAACATTTCAAGTGCGTACGGAAGTAAAAAGTGGGGTCTGGGGGGATGGCTCAGGGCTTAGGAGCACTGGCAAATTCCTAGCACCCACATGGCAGCTTACAACTGTTTGTAACTCCTGTTCCAGGGGATCTGATGCCCTCACACAGACATACATACACCAGGCAAAACACCAATGCACATAAAATAAAAATATTTTAAAAAAGAAGCAGGAAGCTAAAATGTTGGTTTGTTTTAGACTTATAAGCTTTTAAAAATGGAATAGAGAGTGCAACCTGTGCACAGAGTAAACGGGTAAGAGTGAGGTCAGCAAGGCAGCTCGCTGCTGACGCCACTGGCCCCCAAGCCAAGTCCCAGGGCCCACTGGCAGGGGACGGACTTCCCCACGTCGCCTTTTGTTTGAACATGTGCGCTGCAGCACGACCCCCTCCCACAAGACAGCTAAATGTGATAAAAATGGTTAAAGACTCAAGAATAACATGGAAACATTAAGAACTTACATAGAATCTTGGTGAGCTGAGAGAAAAAGTCTGTGGGTGGACATGTGCACACTTGCTAAGTGTCATTTATAAAGACTAGAGGGTAAAGGTGGGAGGGACCAAGCCCCCTTTCTGGAGTACTTTAAATAGAGCCATCACTGTGCTGAAATGTCTGTAGATCAGGGGCTGCTGTGTCCACAGCCTCCTTTAAATACACTAGGGTAGGGGATGCTGTTCCATGCTCCCAGGGTCGAAACAACCAAGGCCACATTCCTTCCTCCTAAGTAGCCCCTTGCAGGAGCAGCCATTCCTCTGTCCATCATCAGAACATTGCAGATTTCCTGTGACCCTGACACAGCATCCCTGTGGACACCTTCCTAAGATGAGAAGGGTCCCAATGTGGGCGGAGGAAGTCGTTTGGGGCCACAGTGAGGGTTCTCGGGTCCTGAAGTAAGAGGGTCACCTGAGCCAGGCATGGTGGAGCACACCTTTAATCCCAGCACTTGGGAGGAAGAGGCAGGAGGATCTCTGGGCTCTCAAGGCCAGCCTGGTCTACAGAATGAGTTCTAGGACAGCCAGGGCTACACAGGGAAACCCTGTTTCAAAACAAATAAAACAAAAAAGTGGGTCCCCTAAGCATCAGGTGCAATGTAAGTTCTGTTCCATTTATATTGGGTTAGCTACCACAGACAAGGCCTGGTCCGCGTGACTGTGTGCATGAGTTCATATGTTTCAGGGACACCAAGCAAACTCTCTACCCCTGAGCTACATCCCCAGCCCTGGGCTCTTTGAGACAGGGTCACACCAAGTTGGCCTCTAAATCATACTCTTCCTCCTGAGTGCTGGGATTCCAAGGTGCAGGACTTCGCCCTCTACCAGGCCCAGGGCCTTTGAGTTAGGACTGTGCTGGGTAGCACCCACCTGGCATACATCTGTGAGAAGGGCTCTGCCCGATGAGCCAGCATACAACAGTAAGACCTTACTCTTCGCGAGAGGAGGCTGCTGTCACCTCTTCCCTGGGGACACAGCCACACCCGTCTGGAAAGACACAGTCTGTGTATGTTCCCTGTCCACTCGCTGGGCCATTCATACCTGCTGTCATGGCCCCAGTGCATATTGAGTCCAGAGAGCCAGAGCCCACTCTCCTGTGAGCTGCCAGCAAGGCTTCAGGGCTCCCATACTCTCCACAGCCAGGGCAGCCCTCCTGCAAACCCCCCAGCTCCCTCTGTACCACCCACCCTCTGCCCTAAACTGGGCAGATCCCTGAGGAAGGCAAGCCATGCTTTGCATTTTGCCCCTCAAACAGCTCCTGTGTCTGTGGTTTTGCTGTTGAGAAAAGTTAACAAAATGAGCAAAGCCAGGGGAAAGGCAAACAATAACCAGCGGACAGTACAATTCAGTTGTAGAGCAACCGGACTCATACTAACACAAGCTGGCTTTTCTCTCTTCCACAGCTCAGGGTACCATGTTGGGTTCAAAGGGACCCAGGAGGCCTTTACGTTCTGGGTAAGAAAAACTCCAGAACGAGTGCTTGAGGCTGGAGTAACTGGGTTTACAGCAGAGTCTTTCACACTGCCGAGCTGAGCCTTTATCTGACACTCACACCTACCACCAGGGGCCTAGCAGGCATGTGCACGTCTGCACACATCACCTGTCTCTGAGCCCAGGTCAAAAGAAAAGAGGATTTCTTCATCAGGGGACCTGCTGCCCAAGCAGGGTGGCCTGAGCCAGGGACCATTTAAAGGCTGCCGGTTCTTTTCCCATGGGTTCCCTCGACAACTTCTCCTCTTCTAACTTGTAATCCATTGAAAGTGTGACACAACCCTGAACTTTGCTTTTCCCAGAGGACAGAGGGGTCTCTGCTGTTTGCTCCCATGTTGTCAGAGTTATGCCTCAGGGCACTGAGAGGGTGGGGTCATCAGACGGGCAGCACCTTCATTTATGGATCCCTTAGTCCGTTCTTTTCTCCAGCTAACCCTCTTTCCGCTTCTGGTCTCTTCTCTTCATGTCAGAAAAGTCTGAAACCCAGATGCTAATGCCAGTGGACCTTCCATCTGGACTACAGCATGTCTCAGAACCCAGCAAGAACAGCATTTGCTAGTAACAGGGGATATTCTGCAGAAAAATGCTCAGAAATAGACTCCAGCGCAGCTCTGACAGCCTGCCTTTCCTGAGTAGGGAGGCAAAAACAACTGGACTACACTTTGCCCGCCACTGTGACTGACACATCTTCAGCATGCAGCACTATGCCTGTGTTCCTTACAGCTATCACTGGGCTGCTCAAGGAGCTCTCACACAAGGAGTGTGTGGCTAACCTTGCAGGTGAGGGAAGCCCAGATGACAGCGCCATCTATCTACCTATCTATCTACCCATCTATCCATTTGTGCATGTGTGTGTGTGTGTGTGTGTGTGTGTGTGTATACACACACACACACACATATAGGTTCTCTCAATGTAGCCTAGCTCTGGCTGTCCTGGACACTACTCTGTAGACTAGGCTGATCTGAAACTGAGATCCACCTGCCTCTGCCTCCTGAGTGCTAGGACTAAAGTCATCTACTACCAATGCCTGATGAAAACATTTTTCAGTAAAGTATAGAACCCAGACTGGTCTTGAATTCCTGACCCTCCCGCTTCTACCTTGCTAGGATTAGAGGCATGTGGCAGCACACATGTGGTTTACACGGTACTGGGGATCAAACCCAGGCCTTCATGCATGCTAGGCATGCACTCTTGTCAACTGATCCACATCCTGGCCTAGCCCTGCTCTGGATGCTGCAGACAGAACACAGGCCTCTTGTGTGCCAGGCAGGTGCTTCACACTGAGGTGCACTCTAACCTCGAAGGGCTTCTGATCAGCCTCTTCCTGAACCTGTAGAGCCCTGCATGGACCCCCGAGGCACTTTGAGCAAGCCTGAGGCTGTTGGCTGGGACATCTTGCCCGAGTTGTTACTGGTACTCTGCCTGATTTGCTAACACACATCTGCTGGGGAGGAACTAAGCCCGAGAACTTGCTCGCTTGACCCTTGATTGTTTTCCACTGTGTCAGTATACAAGCCTGCGCCTTCCCTCAATAGACGGCATTACGGCATTGCTGTTGAACGAATGACCTGCTGTCTTGTCTCTTATTTCAGTCTCTAGGCCTTTGCCCGATTCGTGGAGCAGATGGCAGCGCTGGCGCTATACTG